CTTTCTCATGGCATAATCAGAGAAGAGTATCTCATTCCTTTGAGGTAGAGGCGTTCTCTTCGTTCCCGTTTAAGGAGGCAAAAGCTCTGTCACGCTCTCCCATTCCTTAGCCGGTTACAAGGTAAAGGGGCGTTTGGCTTTATGTCTTCATTCTTACTGGGTAAGGGAGGGGTTTGTCATGCTTCTTTCAGTGGGAAATACATTGCCTATGTTAACATGTTAACAGCTGGAGGAAATCTTAATGTTTTAAGTTAGACGGAGAAGGAGCTTTTTCATTTAGTAACTACTAGGAAGTAGAGGAGCTACAAAGCAGAGACCATGTAGAGGAATTCCGAGTTCCAGAATCGTTTCTCATTCCTTTCCCATTAATATAAGTGGAAAGGGAACTTTCTCGTGTCGCATTCCTTTATAAGAGGTAGAGGAGCTCTCTTCATTGCTGTTTAAAGAGGCAAAAGCTCTGTCACGCTCTCCCGTTCCCCTCTCCGATTACGAAGTACAGGGGCTTTTGGCTTTATGTCTTCGTTCGCTTTGTCATGCTCCTTTCCTATTGGGAAATAGATTGGTGCCTCTGTTAACAGCTAGACGAACTCTTCATGGATCCCTATCCGATTAGGACTTACAGGGCATGAAGCGATAAAGGAGCTGTCTTTTTTCTTCCTGAGGACTGGAGGGGGTTTGTCATGCTTTGAGGGACTCTTCATGTCTTGTTAAACAGCGATGGCGCTCTTCATTTAATACCAAGAAGCAGAGTAGCTACAAGGTACAGACCAGGTAGAGGAATTCCGAGTTCCAGAATCGTTTCCCTTTCCTTTCCGATTGAAAGTGGAAACGAACTTTCTCATGCTCTATTCATCTCAGTCCGGTTGCCTTTTTTGCCAGCTAATGCCAAGATGTCGTAAGTAGAGGAGCTACAAGGTAGGGACCAGGTAGAGGAATTCCGAGCCGCAGAATCGCTTCTCTTTCTTTTCCAATTGAAAGTGGAAAAGGAACTTTCTCATTTCCTATTCAGATAAATAGTACCTCATTCCTTTAAGAGGCGGAGAAGCTTGCTTCATATCGCTTCTCTTTCCTTTCCTATGAAAGTGGAAACGGCACTTTCTCATTCTCGAAAAAAGTATCTCATTCCTTTAAGAGGCAACGGAGCCGCCCTGTTTCCTTTAAAACAAGGCGGTTCAACAGTACCAAATTTTCTTAGAGGTTGTCTTGAAAATTTGGTACTGTTGAACCGCCCTGCTTTCTTCAAACACGGCAGCACGCCTCCAGAAAAATGGCCTCCTTGCTATCTCTCTCCTCTCTCACTTCCCTTTCCCTTCTCTCCTTCTAGTTTCTTTTAACCGATAAAACACAAGAAAGGAACTTGCGTGATAAAGCAGTGGAAGGTAAACCGAGGGTGACTCCTTGCGCGTGGACCTTGCCGTACTTCATCATATCCCTCTTCTTGGCCTATCTCTTCTGCTCTTTTTTCTTACTGTTCTCCTGTTCATAATTCTTCCTGTTTAGTTGTTCTTATTTCGAAGAGAAAGAGGGAAGGGAGAGATAAGGGAGGGAGGAAAGATAAAGAAGAGCGCCATCTTCTCAGCGCCTTGTTTTGTCTCTCCCTCTTCTCTATTCATCTCTCTTCTATTCTTTTCTTTGCTATTCCATTGAAGTTGGGTTCCCTGTATCTCTCCTCTCTCCTTCTCTCTTCCTCCTCTTCTCCTGCTCCCCTCTAAACGGTTGCTCCTTACAGATAGGTGCCCTCCCTCCTCTTCAGGAAATATCCTTTCCCTTACTTTGCTTTTTTAAGCGAAGAAAACAACAGATAAGAAGAGAGGAAAGGGAATGACTAAGTAAAGAGAGGAGCCCTTCAATTTCCCTCCCTACATCTGATGTTACTATTCTTTCTTGGGTGGTGCCCTTCTTTCTCCCTTGAAGATGCAGAAAACTATCAGGAAGGACACCCGTTCCATCGCCCATATAGAGAGAGAGAGAGAGAGAGAGAGAGAGAGAGAGAGAGCGAGAGAGAGAGAGAGAGAGAGAGAGAGAGAGAGAGAGAGAGAGAGAGAGAGAGAGAGAGAAAGAGAAATTATGAGCATCAGCTGGGTTTGCTGCCGATCCAAAATGGGCATCCCTTTTAATCGCCTTCTGTGTCTTCAGACGAGCAAAAGGGACACCCTGACTAAGTGTTTCCTTGTGGTGTCCCTTTTCCTCGCTTGAAGATGCAGAAAACGATCCAAAAAGACACCCGTTCCATCGCCCATATATGGGGAGAGAGAAAAATCATGAGCATCAGTTGGGCTTGCTGCCAACCCAAAACGGGCGTCCCTTTTAATCGCTTGCTGTGTCTTCAAACGAGCAAAAGGGACACCCTAAGTGCTTTCTTGTGGGGTCCCTTTTCCTCGCTTGAAGATGCAGAAAACGATCAAACAGGACACCCGTTCCATCGCCCATATATAGGGAGAGAGAGAGAGAGAGGGAGAAATCATGAGCATCAGCTGGGTTTGCTTACATGTTCATTAATTGTTCTTCCTTTTGTCTTTTCTTTCTAACGGACATGAACAAGAGAAGAGAAAAATAAGAAACAGAGGAAAGATGAAAACGAGCACCGTCTTCTCTTTGCCTGATTTTTGCGCCTCCCTCGCCTGCCTTCATTTCTCTTCCATTCTTGTCATTGCTCTTCCCATTAGAGTTGCATTACTTTTGATCTCTCCTCTCTCCTTTCTCTCTCCTTTCTCTCTCTCTCTCTCTCTCTCTCTCTCTCTCTCCCTTCTCTTCTCTTGTTCTCCTTTAAATCTCAAAAACACACAAAAGGAAGCTTCTTTGCCTTTTTGAATGAAAAAAGAAAAGAAAAAAGAGATAGGGAAACAAATTGAAGAGCTCCACCTTTCCTCTCGTTCTATGTGTTGCTTCCTTGTCGTTTCAGAAAGCAAGCAAAATGAGGGCAAGGGGGCTTCCTGAAGAGGAGAGGGGGCACCTATCTGCGAAGAGCAAGAATAGTCTTGTCTTGTTTAATTATAGAGGGAAAAGGGAGAGACAAAGAAGGGAGAGATTACAGATAAAGAAGAGTGCCATCTCCTTTGTGCCTTGTTGCGTTCCTCCGTCTCCTTGTTTCTTGTCTCCTCTCTTCTGTTCAGTACCCTTCCAGAAAAATAAGTGGCCTCCTTGCTATCTCTCTCCCCTCTCACGTCCCTTTCCCTTCTCTCCTTCTAGTTTCTTTTAACTGATAAAACACAAGAAAGGAACTTGCATGATAAAGCAGTGGAAGGTAAGGCAGAGGGTGACTCCTTGCGCGTGGACCTTGCCGTGCTTCATCATATCCCTCTTCTCGGCCTATCTCTTCTGCTCTTTTTTCTTACTGTTCTCCTTTGCATAATTCTTCCTGTTTAGTTGTTCTTATTTCGAAAAGAAAGAGGGAAGGGAGAGATAAGGGAGGGAGGAACGATAAAGAAGAGTGCCATCTTCTCAGCGCCTTGTTTTGTCTCTCCCTCTTCTCTATTCATCTCTCTTCTATTCTTTTCTTTGCTATTCCATTGAAGTTGGATTCCCTGTATCTCTCCTCTCTCCTTCTCTCTCCCTCCTCTTCTCCTGTTCCTCTCTAAATGACAAAAACACAAGAAAGGAAGAACAAGATGGGAATGGAAGCCCTTTTCCTGTCTTCTCCTGTTGCAATAAGAAGGAAAAGAGCACAGGAGATAAGGAAGGGAATTGAAGAGCTCCTCTAGCAACTTTCTCATGCCCTTTCCTTTCTATCTACCACACCACAACACGACCCTCAGCTTCCAAATAAACCCTATTTAAGCCGGCCACCCCCCCCCTCCCCCTCCCCCCTCTCCTTTATAGGAAATGAAAACTGGACACGAACGATGTCCTCTATCTTTTAATGCAGCAGGAGAGAGCTCCTCTCTCTCTTAATGGGACATGAAAGTCCTCCTGTGTTTGTTTTCAATGAAAGATCTGTCTCTCGAGGAAATGGAAGATCTCCTCTATCTCTTTCTAGGAAACACTTCTTCAAGTAGGAGAAAGGCTTTTTCATAAGGTGTAAATCAGGAGCTCTGTCATTCCCCAAAAAAGAAGAAGGAGAGAGGGGAGCCCTTGGAGGACCCTTTTCAGAAGAGGCAAGGGCACTCATTACCTACACAGAGATAAAAGAGCTTTCAGATGACCTAGACACATGACTTTCGATTGAATTCTGTGGCTCATACTACAATAACAAAACAAAATGCATTGAACAGCAGCACAAGGCTATGGAAACCACCATATTTTCAGAGAGAGAAAAAAAGGAATTGAAGTTGAGCAACTTAGTTTCGATTAGAGTTTGTTGTTCTGCAACAACAAAACAAAATGCATTGAGAAAAGAGAAATAGCGCAAGGTCTACGGAAAGAACAACTTATTCAACAAAGACAGCAAACATAAAGAAGCAACCGAAACGAACGTTGTGCAATTTAGTTTCAGGTAGCTTCTGTGGGTTTTGTAAAAACAATACGGTATAGAAAAGCGCGTCGGTTAGACCCTTTCTCTTCAAAAGCCTTCGGCTAAACCCTACACACCAAATTCGTCAAGTTCTGTGGTTAGACTCGGTTAGACCCTTTCTTTGTAGAAACCTTCCGTCCATTACCCTAAGCCCGAAATCTCGTCAATTCTGTGGTTACTGCCTTTCTCTCAAAAAAAAACAAGGGTTGAACTGCTGAAGTTTAAATATGTAGTAGTTATAATAGCTTCCAAAGGTTTAAATGCTTCTGCTTTTGTGGCAGGAGGAGCCAGCAACAGAAAGTGTCTGGCCAAAGAGATTAGGGTTTAAATAGTCCATTGTATATAAACAAAAGACCTATGTCAAATCATACGTAAAGGTTCCTGCCTCACATATACATATACATATTATATATATATATGTAATATAATATAAAATATAATATATACATACATACATACATATATATATATACATATGTATGCGCTTAGATTTGGGGGGTTGGATGCTAGGATCCTGTACCCCTTGAACCGAATCTAGCCCGTGCCGCGCCTTCTGCCTTGGCGGCTCAGGAGGAGGCGGAGGCGGCTGCTGACCTGGGGTTCAAGGTTTAGGGGTTCAGGGGTTTAGGGCGGTTAGGGCGGTTAGGGTTTAGGGTTTTGGGTTTAGGGTTTAGGGCTTAGGGTTAGGGGTAATGGGTTAGGGTTTAGGGTTTAGGGGCCAAAGGGCAATATCCATGTTCCGACTGCCAACACGGTGACCAAAATACACAACTACTTTCAATCGCCCCCCGTTCTGCAACAGACCGAAGCCCGAGCAATAATAACCCTAAACCCCAAACCCCTCAACCCCCTAAACCCCCAATTCCCCCCCCTCCCCCCTGTGCCATTCGGTCTTCCCCAACACGCAGCTTCGCCGCTCGGCGTCCCTAAACCCTAAACCCTAAACCCTACACCCTACACACCCTACACCCTAAACCCTAAACCCTGCAACCCTAAACCCTAAACCACACCCCAAACCCTAAACCCTAAACCCTAGGCAGCTTCGCCGCTCGGCGTGGCCGCCGCGCTGGGCGTGGCTCGAGCCGATGGGCCGGTCGGCGGCCGCGGCGGGATCGCCTCAACCGGGCAGAGGCTTTAGGGCTTAGGGCTTAAGGCTTAGGGCTTGGGGTTTAGGGTTTAGGGTTTAGGGTTCAGGGTTTTGGGCTTAGGGCTCAGGGTTTCTAGACCCAGGAGTAGCCTAGGAATAAACAGGGTGCCCTTCTTGCTTTAAAGGGGCTTCGAAGGAAGCCTAAACCCTAAAGAAAGGGGATAAGGGCCTACTCCGCGTCCCCTGCAGGCCTGGGTGTTTACGGGCTCAGGGTTTTGGAGTTCACTCGTGCTAATTTTGGGGGGTTCAGGGCCGAGGGTTCGAGAGTGGCACTGTGCAGGCTGCGGGGTTCACGCCCTAAACCCTGAACCCTAAACCCTAAACCCTAAACCCTACTACCGTCTTCCACTCTTTCTGCCGAAGCCCGCGAGCTCGCGAAACTCGAGACTTCCAAAAGGGGGGTCGCTCTGAAGCACATGAAACAGTTCTGTTCTTGTGTACTCTTAACTCAACTTCGGCACGGAAATACATCCCAACCCATGAGCTGCCTTTTTCTCAAAGTGTAAATTCCTGCGGTCGACACTACAGCAGAAAACTTTGCGAATCAGTCCCCCCCTCCTTTTCCTCTTCGTGGAAAACTACACACCCTTAAAGCCCTAAACTTCGTGGAAAATTACACACCCTTAAAGCCCTAAACCCTAAACCCTAAAGCCTAAACCCTAAACCCCATGTAACCCCTGAACCCTCAAGGCAGGGCTGGGCGGCAAGGCGCAAGCTCGCCAGCAAAAACCGAACTGTACTCTCAACAGCGCACGCTGCGTCCTCAAGCTGTAGCTTGTACTCTCAACCCCCAAAGGTTCCCAGGTAACCCGGCTTCACGTAAAGTATGGGAAGCGAGTAAAATCCACAGAAAAAGGAATAAGGGTTTATAAGGGTTTAGGGTTTAGGTACCACTGTGGGGTCCTGGCCCTAAACCTTCTCTGGGCAGAGGCCATGTCGCCGGTCTGAAGGGCAGCGGGGGCGGAGGAACCTGTAGCGACCCTTCCCATTTCCTTGTTGAGAGGGTTTAGGGTTTAGGGTTTCGGGTTAGGGTTTAGGGTATAGGGTATAGGGTAAAGGGTTTAGGGTTTAGGGCTTCTCTGCTCAGATGAATAATTGTCAGATGGCCTGTGGGATCTCCACTGTACAAGGCGAACGACGCAATGCTTCAGTTGTTTCTGTTATATTCCCGGCATCCTGGACAGGTCCGAAGACGTGCAGTGATGTCCATTGAACAATATCTCCTAGGGTTTAGGGTTTAGGGTTTAGGGCTTAGGGTTTGGGGTTTAGGGTTTAGGGTCTGCATGGCAGTGACTTGCTATTGGTAACATGAACTTGCCTTGAAGCTGTGAATTTACCTTTGATCAGGTCACACGCGAGCTGCCAATTTGTGAGCAGTTTATGTCCCGGCCACCAGTACAGTTTCCTTAAAGCCTGTAAAGACCCAACGAACGAGCCATTTTTCGGCCGGATTCCCGAAACTTTTTCAACGATCTAATCTCGCGGCTGTGGGCTCAAACCCTGACCTCTGAGGCTTCGGGCTCGGTGCAGTCGATGATGATGACTGACCGAAAACTTCTCAACCAAACCTTCAACAACAACCCTGTCCAGAAGGCCCCATAACTTACCTCTAGATTGGGATGCTCCCCCTGCTACTAACAATCCTTAAAAGGGATTGTTGTAACCCGCTAGTATAATCCCTATAAGGACTGTTACTAGAAGGGGAACATCCCAACCTAAACCCTAAACCCTAAACCCTACATGTAGACCCCTGAAAAGCCGCCCTACAAGCAGAGGCCGCTGCCGAGTTCATCCATGCCCCGGGAGGCGCACCCGGCTGCATGATCTCAGGGTGCAGTTGTCTGGGTTTAGGGTTTAGGGTTTGGGGTTTAGGGTTTCAGGTTTAGGGTTTAGGGTTTAGGGTTTAAGGGTTTAGGGTTTAGGGCTTGGGGCTTCGGGCTTAGGGCTGAAAGATCCGGGATCCTATTCTTAAACCCAGAAACCTAGAACCAGGACCAACTGCGCATGCAGCAAACTAAGTCGTATCCCGTGCCGATTTCGGCTCAGCCCCAGAAAGACCTCACGCATAACTAGGCTGGGCCCTAAACACTTCTGAACATCTGCCTAACCCCTAAACCCTAAACCCTTTACAAACGCGATAAAGAAAATATCCAACATCCCAAGGGGCGGGGTAGGTACCTAGGGAACCTTAGGGAAGTTTAGGGAGCCCTAGGGAGTAGTAGGGAGTATTCGGGAGCCTTGGGTTACATACCCCCTTGAGCCCCCTTCCCCCAAGAACCCTATAATTCTACAGTTCAGGGTTTAGGGTGGATCAGAGACCCGGATGGCCCCCCAAGTGCTGCAGAAGAAGGGACCATCCAAAGGCAGCCTAAACCTAAGAGTGTAAGGATAAGGCTTCCTCTCCCGAAACCCTGAAAACCTGAAACCCTTGAAACCCTGAAACCCCCCAAAACCCCCCCAAAAAAAAACAACAAACTACAACCCTCAGAGGGGCGGAATCTGGGCTCCCGCGCTGGCACGAACATCGGCCTGCCACGTAGCATCCGTCGGCTTTGGCTTTTTCTGCTTTTTGGGATGCCCCTGATGACTTGGGGGATGTTGCTCGCCCCCTATACAGTTCTGAATGGGTTTAGGGCTTTAGGATTTGAGGGTTTTAGGGTTTAGGGTTGGGATGTTCCCCCCTTGCCCATGATTTGGGATGTTCCCGCTTGATACTACCCAAAACACAACCTCAGTGCTTCACACAGTGCAACTACAGGCCTTAGTAGGCATTGTGGTACCCCCTATTCTAATCCCCATTAAGGGCTGTCAGTATAAGGGGGAGCATCCCAGCCCATGCTGCGCAAGTACATTCTTTTTGGCCAAGGAGCTATATACCTTGCCCTAAACCCTACACCCTTAAACTGTATGGGGAGGGTTTTCGAGGGAGGGCAAAGATGCCAGCCTGCTCTCTTCCTTTTGAGTTTTTTTTTGGGGGGGGGGGGGGGGGGGGGGGGGGGGGGGGCGCAAAAAAGCTTTTAGAGTTTAGGGTTGGGATGTTTCCCTTCTAAAAAAAGTCCCTAAGAGGGACTCTAGTAGCCCCGTCTTGTAATCCCTATCAAGGATTGTCAGTACCAAGGGGGAAACATCCCAAATTTGGGGTTTTCAGGGGCCCTTTTGTGGTGTTGGGGCTTTGGTTGTTACAAGTCTGGGCCACTAAAGCTCCGAAACGGGGTGGGGGGGGGTGGGGGGGGTGGGGGCCTTTTTGGGGGTCTCGGTTCTTAGTTTAGGGTGCGCATAAGGGTCCCCCAATTTAGAATAGCGCCCACATGCTGTCATCAGAGCTCAGCTTGTACTTAAACAACTAATCCCCTCTAAACTAGCCAGCACTAACTGTCAACTCAACACCACCATAAGCAAGAAACACCAACAAGCGCCGCCGAGCGTGCCGTGCTGCAACCGTCATGCCCGGCCGGACGGGGATGGATCCACCAGAAAAGGCCGGAGGCCTTTCTTATCTTTCTTGCAGGGGGAGGGACGGTTTAGGGTTGGGGTTTAGGGTCTGGGTCTTGGAGCTTATAGGGCTTCGGAAACCGTTTAGAGGCTGGGCTCTTTGGGCAAACCCCGAAACTCGTAAAACCTAATGCAGCCCGCTAGTTTCCTGGCTTCTGATGTCATGAAGGTGTGCCCTTTGGCTTCCCGATGTTCTTTGGGTGCTGGGCCATCTTGCTTGAAGTTTATTTCTGCCTAGGGTTTAGGGTTTAGGGTTGAGGGTTTAGGGTTACTGGTGAGCTGAAGGTGGCAAGGCACAGGATTCTTCAGGGTCCAAGTCAACTAGGGGGCCGTGGCTTGGGGGCATATTCTCGCCTACTACGTATTCTTATTGCTGCAA